TGCACAGTACTTCCTATGGGAAAAAGCAATAAGGTATGTATGGGACAATTTCTGTGGTACCAATGAACGTGTGGAAGTTAGTATATCTTGTAAAGTAACCTCATCTTTATTTATTATATCTTTTTGTACAAGTAGATATTATGTTACCAGCGGAGTTTTACCACTTTGTGCAACGCAAAAGATTTTTTTCTATCTACTCTCGGATGCATTCATTCAGATCAACACCCAAATGCCATGTCAAATAGCTAATACATCATGATAGACACCCATACTAAGTATAAATAACATATGTCAAAGCAAACTCACAGTTTGATTACCGGAAATACTTTACTTTGTCCATTTATAATCACAGGACGATACAAATGGTCTGCATTGCTCGATAATCCTGTCCATACTATAAGAGGCTCTGCAGAAATAGGACATCCTGAGGTTAAAGACCTGACTTATTTGTATCAGGATAACTGGCCAAGACTAGCACCAGCTGCAGAAACGCTTACAAAATATGATGATGTATCACCCCTCATTCGAGACACATGAAGGTGACAGCCACCAGCCATGATCCAGAGCTATGTGCCTTAGCTCTGAGAGAATGTATCGAGAATCACAGATCTCTTGGTGTGCAATCTTTCATTAGTTGATTCGTGGTGGGATATAAGTACCTTCCATGAATATCACAAACAGAACAATCCAACTTAGCAAATCAAAATAACCCATATACCATGTATTTAGCATGCCCTCCGTTCATACCCATTGGTAAGGATGTAGCCCTCCTGTTCACGACTTGCAAGCCAACCCTTCGTACAATTAATATCACTTGGTTCTTAATTAAAAGCCTCGGTGTCAACTCCAGATTATTCGACTGCGAGCGCGAGGGCAGCTTCGACTGCAGATAGGTGGAAGTACTGCATACATTTGTAAGAACTGTCTATGGTGGCCTATGTGTATATGTATATGTTTGTTTTGGTTTTTTGAGAATGGGGTTACTACATTATTTAATGTCATATTATACTAAATATATCAAGACCACACAATACACTCAAGTTCTTGCTGAATCATAAGAACAGTATCGGACATGCCCATTTACAAACAACTTATTGATTGTACGTTGTAAGCGGAGATTGGCTACAACCACATCTCTATTCTTCATCTATCGCTTAACCAGTCCAACGAGCTCTGCTTATGGTTCGTGGATAGAGGTTAGTAACTACTCTCTTAAATAGCCACCATTAGCAAAGAAGACAACAAGATTGTAGAAGTACGTATAAAGCAAGGAGCTCTATGCTGGTACATCATCGTTCAGTTATCCTAATACATTATGTAACAAATCTACGAACTTATATCTTTCTGATGTTAATCCAAACTTATCGAGGAATTTTCTAACAGTACTTGTATACAGGACTCGAACCATTCCAGTGGAGAGGAATATACGTGGTGCTGTACACGACTACGCTTGTTACCTCTCCAAAAAGAGATGTCGAGCGCGAATGAGGGCCACTCTCTTGATCTATGCGTTGCTGGGTCATCCTTGTATGATGGGTCGGTCAGAGCATGCGAGGCGAGGTACATTATCACTCCTTATCTGGTCTACTTGTGATACATTGTCTATCTACACAAACACAAAAATCAGTCGAATAAGACACCATGGCGAAAACACACAATGAGCACATGCCTCAGACAGTCCACATCTCTATTAGTGTATTGCAGGACAATAGTAATGAAACGCTTTGTGAATGTTATTATCGGACTGTATGAAACTTATCCAGTGTGACAGCACTGAAAATCGCCAATCTCCTATGAGGCTTGTCCTGGACAAGGACGAGGGAAGTCGCAACATTTGGTTGACCTTGTCAGAGGCAACATGAAAAGTGATACATTTTTCTTCTTATTATGATAGTTGCAGTTCACCATGTCCAGGCATTCATTTCTGTATATGTTGGAGCCAAATCTTGCTGTGTTAAATATACTGACTCTATAGGGAAACATGACAGTGACCGTCTGTGTACTGCAAATTCACCGTGTAAGATATGTTTAATTAAAGTCTGGTGCCCAGATAGACGAGGAAGGGCATTCAAAGTGGCAGTTTGCAGTATGTAGCTTGTAGTGTGTCTGTGTGTGTATATGTGTTTTGGTTCTTGAGTCGGTCCATTATTCAGTTTAATAGCAAGTCTAAGTCTTTGTAAGAATTCGGAAGCATTTAAACACTTTTGTATGGTGAAGCGGATTGATCCATCCATTTGTAGCATCCAAGTGTTATTCTTTTTAGTTATAGCACCTAGATGACAGAGATGAGTGCTTAAGCCAGGCTTTGCTGTGTCAGTTTTATTATTAACATCTAGATTTTCTTCTGATTAATCAGACATGGGTTTCTTTACACAGGACTGAACACTTCCGTGGAGAAATATACGCTTACCCAATGTTTCTCCAAAAGAGAGTGTCGAAGAAGGCCAATGTAGACTTCTTCTGTATGGATGTAACATGCAGGTAATCCTCACTGTCATATTGCAAACATCCACAACAATGTTTAAAATGGCCCATGCCTCAGCAGTCATTTTAGTATGATATTGATATTGTCACAAAATGCTGCTCCTGCTTCTTAGGTACTGGCCATACCTTAACAAAAATAGCCGAGGGATTACCCAGAGCTTCTGCCGTTGACCGAAATGAGGTGCCATTTCTTAGCGTGATGCATGCTAAAGCCATATACAGCAAAATGCCGAGGTTACAATAACATTCTTAATGCAAGAAGGATTTTAAATGTTGTGCATGGCATCGCCTTATTGGGATATCAAACACTTCTAAAGAAATGCTACAATAACACTACTTGCGCTGTGTTGCAGTGAGATGGGGTGGCAGAAGTCAGGACGGAGCAGGAAACACAGTGGGAGAGGAAGTTAGAGCAGCGTATGTTATAATGGCATTATTGTACACTGTATGGATACAAGAAGTCTTAATAGAAAGCAGTTACAAATATGTATGTGTGCATCTCAGTGACAAGCCTGTTGATTAGTTTAAAGCATATCTTTTATGTCTGAGTTCAAATGAAAGATAGCAGCTCATATGTTCAGCAACACACTAAATGGCATGCATATTTTAGGAAGTCAGTACACAAGTTTTTCTTTAAACCCATCCAGTTCTTCAAGATCTATGATGTGTAGGTGATTATTGTTATGTGATGGTGACCGAACATTAATTGTAACATTCATTATTAGGTGAACAGCTTCTCTCCAGGGCAGCTCTGGTCACAAAATACATGACAAAAGCAGGTTGGTATTAACACTACACATGTTGATAAGGCAGCCCTGATAAGTATTTTACAGAGATTCCCTCCTTAAAAACATTATTGGTGTATTACTTTACTGTAATTACCAGTTCAACAACCTTTCAACGATTGGGTTAGTCATGTCTATCAGGTTTCTCACTCAGTATTGCCTTTTTGATGTGAATACTTACTTTTTTGTTTGTGGATATATTTTTTGTCTTTTTTAGGAAGGAGTGGAACATGCTCACTCAACAGGCCAATGGGTTGGAACAGAAGGAAGAGGGACAACCTTCATCAAGTTTTAGCCCACAGATATGTCAAAGGTAAGGGCAAATTACCAATTGTCTTCTCATCTGACATTACATATTTATGAAGGATGTCTGCATGTAACCTCATGGCTATATACATGATGTTCTCCCTTATCCACACTTCCTCTTGCAAGTCAGATGGTGTCATGGAATGTTTCAACTGTTGCTTCTGGAAGGTCTTGTACTGAAAACTGTGTTCTTTGCATATGGTGTTGCATGGCGCTTTTGCTCTGACATTTTCTTTTTTTGGTAAAGATCACAGAGAGGGCAAAGGTGGAAGCTGCCAGTTCAGCGACTTCAAAAGGAGCACAACCTTGATCAGGAGACCAATACAGCAGTGGGTGTATGATGTCAGGCAATTGGGCGGTCACAGGTAAGACATACCACAGGTTTCATTATAACATCTGTTAATTACTGTAAGTTTAGACACACCAATATAAGTTGGCCATATGTTGGAAACTGAGACTGTCACTGATTGTAATCTCTTCTCCATTGTTTTTTTTGGCAATATTTAGAGAGAGTCTACGCCCCAGGTGTACTGAAGGGACTGAGGTGGATATTGAGAACATCACCGTCACTCTTTTGCGCAGGAAGCAAGATCTGTATCGTCAGCATGTTTGTTGTCAAACGTGTTATTGAAATTACCTTTCAAAAACAACAAAAACATTCTGGCACCATGACACAGTTTTGTTTCCGTTTCACTTTGCAGACAGCAACCAGGCAAGGCAAGAAAGAGGAAGAGAATGAGAGAGCTGAAGAGAAGCTCGCGAAAAAGTTGTGCAATACAACACCGGAGTGCAGGAAGAACAGATTGACGAGGAGTTGGCTTGCAGTCTGACAGAGGGCTACATCTTACCATGGGAGAGGCATGCAAATGGTAGGATAATTGCTAGTTTGGCTTGGTTGTTTTTTAGTCTAATACCAAAATATGAAAGAACCAATGCTATCGCTACAAAGATTTGTCTCAGAAATGAAAATCATTCTGTAATAATAATATATGAATAAATATTCCTTGTCCACTACTCCATCCTTTCCTCAACCTAAAGGCAACACCTTCAGGTTGAAGAGGTCTGTCTTTGACCAGGTAATGCTGGTCAGACGTTTGGAGGAGGAGCAGAGCATCCTGGTGAAAGAGATGTCGCAGCACATCATGTTCCTTCTGAAGGGAAGTGCAAGAAGTGGAAGCACTCAGAGGACAGACTTTGGAGGGCATCAAAACCAGCAGTATGTCTGAGATCTTAACATTTGAATATTTTCATCACCTCTTCAACACATTGCATGTCTTACATAAGTAGAACACATCTGTCACTGTGTCAGGCCGAAGTGAAATAGTAAATTACTGAAACTATTCATTATCAAGATCATAATCGATTATTTTCTGTCTATTGACTATTTGTTAAGCACTATATAAACATTAATCAACATGTCCCATTTGGCACCCAATATATAGTAACATCCTTCAGTTTAAGACGGATTTACCTACTTTGTAGTGTTTTTACATTTGCAGCATTGTACAATGCAAAGAGATTTGCAATTGTCATGGTTTGTTTACATTGAGCCCTTTTGCTGTGTGATTATTCCTCTACAAATTTCGGTGATCTGACAGAGGATGCTGCACATGGGCTCAAGAGTGTCCTCAGTCGGAGGTGGCACTTCCTCAAAAGCCAAACACAAAACAGGCTGTACATTGCGTACAGCGGTGTAGCCGCTAATGCCATGATCTTCAATTACAGCAGGACATTGAGGAGTCGGATGACAATGACTACACTAGCCCTGAGTCTGAGGAAGAAGACCTGTAAAGGTTTCTGCCAAGCAACACAGAGGCACTGGAGAGCTCTTTCACAAGCGCGTGTCACGTCCACATGCTGGTGCACGCCATAATAATGACAAAACACATTTAAAACACACTTAAAGCCATACAAAATAAAGACAGAATGCAGCAGCTCGTCTGGTCTTCAACCTTCCAAAATTCTCCCACACCACGCCGCTCCTCCGCTCACTTCACTGGCTTCCGGTAACTGCTAGAATCCACTTCAAGACACTGGTACTTGCGTACCATGCTGTGAATGGATCTGGCCCTTCCTACATCCAGGACATGGTTAAACCATACACCCCAGCACGTGCACTCCGCTCTGCATCGGCCAAATAGCTCGCTGCACCCGCACTGCGAGGGGGACCCAAGTTCCCGTCAGCAAAAACACGTGGGTTTGCTATCCTGGCTCCAAAATGGTGGAATGAGCTCCCCATTGACATCAGGACAGCAGATAGCTTGCACATCTTCCGGCGCAGACTGAAAACTCATCTCTTTCGACTCCACTTCGAGCAATAGAATTACTAACAAAGCACTTATATACTAATAAAGGGCTGGCTTATCTAAAGCCAGTTGAGTAGCACTTGAAATGTTTGGGTCTATGAAACCTGATGTACTTATATGATTCGGTTTTCTTCAAGGTTGTATCTTCCTGGTCGAATGTTCTTATTGTAAGTCGCTTTGGATAAAAGCGTCAGCTAAATGCAATGTAATGTAATGTAATATTTATAATTCAAAAGTTTAAATCACCAAGTCTGCAGTTATAAATGTTTATAAGTCATAACGTTTTTTTTTATTGTCAGATGGGCATATAATATGTAAATAAATAATCAATTGAGAGTTGTAAGAGTTGTTTTAGTTGATTCTGGTCAAGATATTATTCAGCCCTTTGCTATAAATAAACAATCAAACCAGTATTAACCACCTTTCACAACCTGGCAGCCCAAAAAGGTGTCTTTAATAGTGGATTATAACTGTCTATATAGAGCACTAGTTACTGATTTATTGACCAAATAGAAAGCAGCAGCACAGAACAACACTCTGGTTGCTGGAGGAACAAAAAGAACTAACACCTCCCTTCTGACAGCTTGGTGACAGATGACGGCTTTATTAGCTGCTGCTGCTGCACAAAGCAGACAGAGGGGAGGGGGGGGTAAATAACATAATAGTGTAGCGTTGTTCTGGAGCACAGTGTGGAGAGGATTTACATTTAGGAGAGGGGCGGCTTCAGAGGAGGAGCACACAGCCTCCTTAGCGTGTGCATTTCCTGATCACACCGCGGTGATGTGTTGAGTGTTGTCGGCGGGAAGGTGTGTCGGTCACTGCTGTCTCTCATCCTGTCACCCACCAGTGTGTGTCTGCATGTGTGTGTGTGTGTGTGTGTGTGTGTGTGTGTGTGTGTGAGAGAGAGGGTGGGTGAGCGAGAGAGAGAGAGAGAGAGAGAAGTTTCCTCTGCTCTCGCTCGTGCACTTCACACGATGGAACGCCTGTGTCCGCGTACAGCTCTGTTGCGTTCGGAGCCCCGCAGCCTTCAAGACAACTGAGAATTGAAACAAAAAAAAGTGTCACCAAATGGCTGAATTTGGAGAGAACAATAAGAGCGCCGTAGGTCCACCGGTTGCTGGCTGGAAAGCTGCGTCAGGAGGCGGCGGTATGAGCCCGGAGACGCCGGTTTCAAACGGAAACTGCACCGTGAAGAGGCTCCAGAAGCAGCCCAGCTGCGAGTCCCCGACGTGGGAGAGCGCGGGTTCGGATTCAGCCTCCAAAGCGATCCCTCGACGAAGCAGTCTGATCAAGGTAGGCCGTCCTTCCCGTAGGGAGAAAACAGCTAGCCTTGCTTTATAATAACATGTAGTTTGATGTTATACATGCCGGCAAACTGTTGCAAGTCCAGAGTAGACCTCTAAACATGAAAAATGAGGCCACAGTGGAAGTGATCAAGTAGGCTATGGTTGTTTGAGTTGCACACATACACTGCAAGCCCCTGCATGAATGTAGTACTGGTGCCATGGAATGCAATAAACAACAGTCACTACACACACTGGGACTGCTTCCTGTCAGCTTCCTCTGCATCTGTGTGGAGAAATCAGTTTCCTCATCTCCCTCAATGCTGTTGAAGAAATTGAGTAGCAGTATTTACCACTTAAAGATAGACATCATGTCACATTTGATAATGACTTTAAAAGCTGCCTGTCAAACACTTAGCCCCCACATCTTGACTATAATGAACTCACAGGACTCCAAACCAGTAGCAACAACCCTCAATTACAGAGATTTTCTTTCATATGTGTCATACAGGGTTGATGTGTTGCCAGACACATGTCAGTAATTAACACTCCATCAGCAAGAGAGGGAAGGGAAGGGACTTATAAGTGAGAGCACCTGCTGTTATTGTGATTAAAGATACATTTAAATTCCTCCACCCACTCGGTCTCACACTCAAATACCCCTGTCCAATAACCCCACTCCCTGAACTGATCCAAGCTCATATTTAAGAAAATGTAAACTTTATTAGTAGAAAGCTCTTGACATGCATATCATACTCAGTTTGTTGTTTTTGCAAGGCACTAATCAATAACTCAACTTTGTCATTTTATGGCCTTCTGGGCATGTGGGAGGTATTGCATTGATCTCTAGTGGCTGCTTGTCTTCAAAGCTGCTGCCTGTAAAGACACGATTATTCAACACGGCCTCATCTGTGTCTGATTGGCTCTCACTGTGAGACAGGAAGTCGGCCAGTTGGCCAATTTCCTCATAAGGTTCATGTTGCAATATTGCTATTAAGTCATGAGCAGTTGGTGATAACAGTCAACTTTCTCCCTCTCTTTTACTGAAACACACACATTTTCTCACCTCCCTGCCCACACACAGGTCTGCTCTTGTCTTCAGTTTGTTACGACAGTGCTGCCAGCCTGACACAGAGATTTAAAAACACTCTGTTTGCTTTGTTGGAGTACTGGCGTCTCATGCTGTGTCAGATATGGCGTTAATAAGTCCTGGCTTTCCATCCAGAGCATCACTTGAACTACAAAAAACAGTAATGCAGGAGGAGTGTCACGTGTATTGAAACATGTATTTTTAGGAAATGATTGTTGTTCATTTTCAGTAAGCACCATTTAACGCTGAAACAGTGATCGATGCACTTCCAGCAGAACAGTGTACACATGCTTGTGCTTTTGTTTTAAATTCCAGACACCTGAGGCTTTAGAAAGATGGAGCTGAGAATAAATAAATCCACAGTTTACACAACAGTGCTGTTTCTCAAACTACCTCTATAGCTCAGGACAACAACAATAGGAATCTGGGGTGGTATGAGGGCAGATAAACAGGAAACACAACATTCCTGTCTGCTTTTCACACAAGTCATGGGATTTAGGTCCAGTGTGTGTTTTTTTTGTCCGTTGGTTTTGGCTAAACTATTCATCCTTAATTGTATTTCATCAGTATGTACCGCAGACTGTCCTCTCATTCATTCTGTCTCACTCTTGTGTGCGTGAAGGAGATGCAGAATAAGGTGCCCACTTAGTTTGTTCTATTTCAGTTCATCTCCATGTAGATAACCATCAGGTACTCTCTATCTCTTTGTTTCAAACACACAAACACGCACACAAGCGCACACACACTTGCATAGACCTGCCTTCTAGTAAAACAGCTTGGCACAATATATATTTTCAGCTTTTCATTTCTCATGCCCTGACGTTCGCATACACTCAGACATACATGGTTTGCATGTTAATGTGTTTGTGGTGTGTGTGTGTGTGTGTGTGTGAGAGAGAGAGTATAGAATAGTAGGCATAGCATGAAATGAAAACCACATCTCCAGATTCTTAGCTTTTTATTAACCAAGGGGAAAAAAAAGCAGTTTAACCAAATCGTGTTTTTTTTAAAAAGTGGAAATAAGCCAAGTATTGGCTCGATTCTTAAAATATACTGAATATAGCCACATTTTAGGATACATATACATTTTCTATATCCTGAAAGGTAATTGAGAAGGTTGATACCACTGGAGACGGTTAGCTTAAAAGGCTGAAAGCAGAAGGAAACAGTAAACCTGGCATTGTCAGAAGGTAACACATCGCAGGCCAGCACCTGTTTCCCGTCTTGATGCTAAACAAAGCTAGCCTTCTCCTGTCTCCAGCGTCAAAACTAAATGGAAGAACAAAAAGATGTTGGAGTGGATTCAAATCACGGGGCCGCTTCATGCATTATTTTCCACTTGTGATGACGGCCTTGTCCGATGTTGGCGTGCCATTTTAGAGTGTGTTGACATTGTGTGTCTGAAGTTAAAAAAATGAATCGTTAGTAACATGGCTACTGCTAGCAGTCCAAAGCAAAAGACATGTATGAATCCAAAATAACTAGAAGCTCTTATCTCTGTGCTATGACAAAGGCAAAAATAAAACAACTGGTGCATACATAATAAGGCAGGTTACTTGTTTGTAGTGTACCTGTTCCTTACCTGAGGATAGCTACTGCTGTTTTATTGACTTGCTTAGTTGCTTCTTATATAAATTCTCTCTGGTAGGCAGTGATGCAGTGTCTCTCTTATCTTGTGAAAGAGACTTCTCCATCTATAAGCAGACATAATTGCATAGTTAAAGCGAGGCTTACGGGGAACCAATTTAAAAGCTGAAAGTCATTATTTTCATGGCCATGACATTGTGAAATTGACATATACTTCATAATGATAAGTTAAAGCAAACGCATGTTGTATTGTCACTTTCAGTGTGTGCGTGCCTGTGTTACAAATAGTAAATCTGTGCAAATGCATGTACAAATGCGTAAAAACACATAGGCCTACTTTGTGTGTTTTTCAGACCCAGGGAGCAGCATTAGCCGGAGGCGTTAGCAGTAGCGCAGTTGGGGGGGGCGGGGGGGGGGGGGCCTTGAGCACCTCCTGCAGTTTAAATCCACATCTTTTGCCTGCTTTAAAACACTTTAGCCTGCATTAGCATGACCCCTGCACAGCTCAGGGAGTGGGTAAACCTCCTCTCTGATTGGGATGGAGCCACTGGTGATTGCTCCACATACGTGCTCACTATCATCATATCCAGCTTTGTAAGTGTGGCTGTCTAAGTTTGAGCCTGTTTATGAGCCTCGGCAAAGTAATCACTGAGTCGTGTGGAAACATCGCTCGGTACTTTGGTGGCGTTGATGCTCGACTCAAGGCTCAAACTGTCTGCTCTCGGTTTTAGCGGTAATGATATTTTCAGTAAATGCACCTGTGACGTTTTTCAGCTGAAATTATGGTTAGCTTTCTGGCAATATGACCGCACATTTTAATTGTTTCATTTTTGTGGTGTGTGTGTGTGTGTGTTTGTGTACGTGTGCTTGAACGCACATGGGACTTCAAAGGTTTGAGGCGTAAAAAAGCATCTGCAGCTCTACTCGCCTCAAAGGCAGGGTTTAAAGTCAGACTGAGCAGTCTCAGACTTTTTCTAGATTTAGAGTTTTATCGTGCATTTGCAGAAGTTATACAAAATAGAGATTATACACCAAAAATAATCAGCTGACTGACGGGGTGGTTGAGACACTGTGAATCACCACATATTCTACACTGATCTGCTGACAGAATAATTTCACCACATAATGCTTCCTGCACCCCATTTAACTTGTCCTGTTTGCAGTCACACTCAACACATTATTACACACTAATATTAAACAAACTGTAATTAGTACCATGGATCAAAAATGGTCCCCAAATAATAATAATTTGATGATTATTCAATATGACAGTTATTTTCCCAGCACCGGAGGTTGCCGCTTGGTCATAAGTGATTGTTTTCTACTAATCCTACTTATTGAGCCTTTAAATAATTATAATGAAACACAACTAAACCTAAAAACAACCCCTTATGTTTCTGCATACAATACTAAATCTTGGTAGTAGTGTCCCTTACATTTATTTTTGAATGCCTTATTTTGCTCGTTCCACACTGTATCTCACATTTCCCAGTAAATCACCTCCTAAAAGCCCCTTCCACTGTGAGAGACACTGGAATAAGCCATGCCATTAATCATCCATCATCTGCCGTCAAACACAAGGCCACAGGGAAGACAGTGCCAATTTCTCTCTCTTCTATTCTTTACATTCCCACCTAACAACCATCTCTGTGATTTTCTGTCTGTCTGAATTAGTGGAAGAAAAGATGACATGCGCTAATGAACTACTTCTCATTCATACTTCTTCTCGAGTGTGGGATGCTGTAATTAGTGATACAGGCTTGTTGCATCCATATAAACATAAGTTCTCATGCATCATACCATTCATGCATGTCAGCTGGGTGCTGAAGGCTCTGCTGCTGCCTACAGGCATTAAACCAAGGGCCGAGTCTTTGTGACTGTATCCATAAAGATAAGAAGTAATCTGCCAAAGAGCTTCTTTATTGTTTTGCTCCAGCCGTCCTCTAGCTTTTTCTTCTGTTTTTGCTAATCTTTGTCCTCAAGTTTGAACTTTCTGTGATGTCCCTCTGTCATAACTGCATCTAATCTGCTCTGCCACACAGTGTACCCCATTTCTCTCGCCCTTCTTCCGTCCATCTGCCCCTACCGTTAAATCTGTCCTATCAGGAACATCAGTAGTTTAAAAACCGGCAGATACATTTTTTTATTAAAGGGGCCCTATTATGCTTTTTGTAGCTTTTCTCTCTCTTGTGTATAGTGTTGTATAGGTTTTAGTGCATGCAAATGGTCTGCAAAGGCAAAAATACCAAAGTTCACACCAGAGTAGGGCTGCTCAATTAATCGTATTTTAATCGCAATAACGATTATGGCTTGCAACGATTACGAAAACAACG